ACACACACACACACACACACACACACACACACACACAGCATAAGAAAACACTTACATGTATTGGGTAAGACTGCAGCGAATGCATTTGCCATGGTTTGAATATTAAACTGATTGTCATGGATACAACTCTCAGACCTAACAGTGATATGGATCTTCTTTTAGATCGGCAATAAAACAAACATATTTCCAAACCATTGACTGAACCATTTGCATTTAGAATTGTTCATTATTTGTTACATGTTGACAGAACACACCTCACCGCTTCCTGCTTTTGTCTGCAAAGTTAGAAAGTTGTACACAAAGGTTATGAAAAGGTCAACGGAGCAGCTACAGCAACAAGGAACGTTTAAGGGAAAAAAAGACAAAGAAGTGGAAGGAGACAAAGACAGATAAATAATTAAAACATATAGCGACAGCATGTGAAGAGATGAAAAGAAGCAAGGAGGAGGACAGGAAGAGATAATTAAACAGAGGAAGGATAGATATGGAGGAGTGGGAGGGGATGGAGAGGGCAAGATGACTTAATACACCGCCTGCTCTGGAATACTCCACCCTCAGTCTCCAACACACACACACACACACTACAATTTCCCAGTGAGGTAAATCCCCCAGCATTCCCCCCATATGCGCTGTCACAGCCCTCCCACTCTTCCAACTTGTGTGTGTGTGTGTGTGTCACCACTCTTCTCTGACATTCCTGCGTTGAGCGAAGAGGCAGCGAGCTCGGCTGCAGAGAGACAGAACTACAAATGCAACTCACAACTTCTTTGGGGAAAGTTCTACTTTTCTCAGAAGAAGAAGAAGAAAAATAGTCCTTTTTCTTAAAGTTGCAACTCGTCCCGTTGGCTTTTCTGACTAGGGAATTCAAAATTTGGGACGCCTGCCTGCAGATGCAGCTGGGAAGTTTTGTATCAAGGGATTTCTAGAGAAGCATCCTATCCAGTCCCAGTTTCCTCCTGTTCTTCTCCTCTCCATCGCCCTCCCTTACTCCAAACTTCAGACTGCGGACTGTTGGGGAATACCTTTGGAGAGGCAAAAACAGAACAAGGGCATAGTGCTGCAGCAGCGTACAAAGAGGTGAGTTAAGATTTAAAGTACTTATAATTGTTGATGTTGCTCTTGGTCCTATGGCGGTTTAATGCATTTTTTTATAAGCAGTTTTGGACAAACGCATTCATCAAAACTTGTGTCGTCTGCTCTCTGTTGAGTTGCCTTTTAGTTTCTGAGCTACAAACTTGCAGGTTTGTATTGTTTTGCATTAACGGTTCTGTTATGAACTGTCAAAGATTAATAATGATAATGAGCACTAAAGAAGCCAGTAAATCTGCCATATACCGAAAAATGAGAGAGCTCTGTAGTTAATGGTGCATAAAAGTGGAGGGTGTTGCACAATCTGTCCTTAATGTAATGTCTCGGGGGAGTCTGAGTTGCTTGTTCTGCTGATCCCCTGCAAGCTCTAAGTCGTGTGTCTTAGAAAGAGAGAGAGAGAAGAAAGGAATTGAGGGGCAAAGGGGGGGGGGGGGGGGGGGGGGAAAAAGGGGACACGAGAACTGATATCAAACAGAAAGGGGG